CGGGAGGAATACGATGCAGGCAAAAGCAAATAGCAATGTCCGATCTTTCTATAGAGTCAAACGTTATCACATAAAACGTTTTTTTTTTTTTGTATAAAAAACGATCATTTTAAGAACTTTTGCCTTCTGGAGGCTAAACAGTTGAACTTATAGCTCGAATTTGGTGGCAGTAGACAGAAAGAACGTTAACCCACGCTCCCGGGGTCTGCGTGCGTATAAAGCGCCCTACTGGGGGGGGGGGACTATTCATAGCCCCTCCTAACTCCGAAACTACTGGGCCGATCGTCAAAATTCAAACGGTGTCTGATAGCCCCAGAAAAACTGTCGAATGGAACCTAATTTCATTGACCTCAATGTCACCGATGATGTCACAGGTCAGGTTAAAGTAAAAGTCATCGATGTTTGGCTTGTTCACATTTTGGGCTCTGGCCGCCGTTTTACAAGTCAGATCGGGCTCATATTTTGTTTACCCACTCATAAACATATGCTTTAGATATCCTGAGGGTACCAACTCTTGTACTTTGATGTTCAGGTCAGGGTCAGGTCATCACAGTTTGAGCTCAGGAACACGATGCTGCTACTTATATTGGTGTATAAAAGTGCACTCAAAACCTGCGTAGGACCCTCAGAGATCAGCTTTGACCAGACGGCATTCGTGGACGCCCTTAGAAACTGACCTAGGGCCTCCTTAGATACTTGTGTCGGCCAGCCCTCTCACATCAGCCTGGGGATCTCAGCGGAATCTGCCTGGGGCCCTCGAGAGCCGGTTAGGGCCCTCGGAAAGTGGCATGGTACCCTGAGATAGCTGTGTGGGCCCTCGGGTAACGGCTTGGGGTCCTCGGACATAGGCCTGGGGGCCCCGAGCATTGACCAGAGGCCCTTGGATATCGGTCTGGGGCCCTCGGTCTGGGGATTTCCCCAGACCGATAATAATAATATTACATATATTATTCCGGGCCCCCCCCGGAACCCTGGCCTGCCCCCCGGTCTGCGTGCTTAAGGCACCCTACTGGGGGGGGGGGGGGGATCTCCAGAGCCCCTCTCCTATCTCCGAAACTACTGGGCCGATCGTCAAATTTCAAACGGTGTCTGATAGCCCTGGAAAAACTGAAAAATAAAAATAAATCAAAAAAGCAAAATAAAAAAATAAAAAAATAAAATTTTGTTATTGTTAAAACCACAGATACCTAACAGTAGTACTGTTATCTGTGTTAAAACATATTTTTATTTTTTCAGAATTTCGAAAATACATAGATAGCAGTTTGATAGCTACGTCTAATTGTAGTCCCCTGATGCAAAGAAATTGGATCTAGCTTTTAAACTAAGCTCTTGAGAACGTTTGCCGTACTTCAATATTTTGCATTAAAGGTAGTGTGCCAGCTTTCCTGGACCGTATGGAGTTAATGGCCCAGATAAAGAGAACCGGATTTTTAGAACTTATCCATACCTTCAAAACTCATGGAAACGTCTTAAATTCTTCAAATTTTGAGTACCCCAGTGCGAAATTCGCCCCGACGGGTTGTCGGTCGTACCCCAACCACATTTCACACCACTATGAACAATAAATGCACACACTGAAATCGCTATTACCGATATGCTCATCCAATCAAGTTTCGATAAACCCGTTCATCATCATCTCCTGCGGTTTCGAACACGCCTGTTAGGTGGTGCGGTAGACCGCGCCCAAAGCCAGGGCCCCGGTAACGTGAGGTAGCCGAGTCGGGGCAGCGTGCGCTGACCCAAGCCGGGGCCGCGCGTCCTCCCGGTGTCATGTGATAGCCCGGGGGGGTGCGGTAGACCGCGCCCAAAGCTGCGGCCCCGGCTTGGGTCAGCGCACGCTGCACCGACTCGGCTACCTCACGTTACCGGGGCCCTGGCTTTGGGCGCGGCTTCTGCTCATACTTTGTGGTGCGGTGGTGGTGCGTCGGGCCGCGCGCTCTGACTTCGGCCAAGAAAAATGCGTCAGCTGATCATTGTCATTTCTGCCACTTGCGTGTGGTGAAATGGGGTCATAACTTAAGAGACGGCTTTTTCATATCAATTATTTTACATGAAATCATATTTCAAACCATAAATAATGTTCGACAGCCACACTCAAAACTTTTTTACTACCTCCTGGAGAGTTCATTTTCATCAAACCCGCAAGATAATAGTATATTGAAAGGGTAACTCGCTGCTACCATTATGTGCATAGTAACGGTACGTGGTTAATATGAACTTATTCGCCAGCGAAGAGTATTATTACCATGTAAATATCAATATTACTCTCGCGATCCAGAACATCACGAAAACTCTTTCCTCCTGGGTATCGTGACTCGGGTACAGATAGTCGTTTCATGCGTGGATCTTGTTTACCCTCGTGAAGATGATATTTGAAATGGAAACAATCAGCCAATCAGAAACGAGATCGGCCGTTTGCGGTTTGAAGGCCGCGCGCATCTGTCAGTTTTCGGCCGTTGGTCTCCGAGAGCGGATGTGAGCAGTGTCCGTGCCGCGCGGCGTGGCCGTTGGTGATTGTGCTTGTGTGTTGTTCATCGCCTATAGAGCCTCTGTGGACATTTTATTGTAAGTACCGATGTGCTAGAGCATTGCGTGCCGTTGAGTGGTGCTAATTTGACCTGGTTAACAGGACCCCGTGCACGGCCACGTGGCCTAGTGTTGTGAGTACGTACATTAATTTTGTTGTGATGCTACAAGTTTATGCATTTTGTTGGTGACTTTGAAAAAGCCTTGCACTGTAGTGATCCAGTCTCATTATCTCACGCAGACGGGCGACCACCCAGGAACGCCGTCGCTCACTTCAAATATTGTGCGCTCTGCCTAATCTAATATGAGGGCGCTGAATGTCTTGTATTCATATTCAAATTGCATTCAAGTTGTATCGTGGTGTTTATTTACCGCTTGTGCATTGCTGAACGCTTTCTATAAATTTGTATGAATAAGTGAAGAGTCTCACAATGTTCATGGTTGGTGTGCCCCTCGTATTGTTTGTACGGAAGCCAAATATACCTACATTGTTGCTCTTGAAACATTTTTTTTTTAGTTGGTGAGCTCCGGTTAACAGAAGCTTCGTGAAGCTTCTGAAGGAAGCGTCTGTGGGTCTGTTACCATCCTCTGGGGGGTTTACACTAAAGGAAAGAGTAAACATTACCATGTGGCAAAGGGTAGGCCATAATAATATACTCTCTGTAGGAGGGTAAAGCACAGAGTAGATGATGCGTTACTCCCTAAAAAAGGGTTCCGTTAAAGATTTACCCTTTCAAAGAGTGTAACCCAAAAAATGTTACACTCTAGTCAAGAGTAAATCAAAAGAGTTTACCATTCAGAAGATGGTATAAAACGTCTGTGTGTCATGTTACCCCTCCCTGGCGAGTTTACTCTTCATGAAAGAGTAAAATTTACCATCTGGAAGGTGGTAAAAAACGTCTGTGTGTCAAGCTACCATGCTATGGCGGGTTTACCCTTCAGGAAATGGTAAAAAAGTTTTCAGTGCAAATAAAAGAAACAATACCAATACAGGCTTACAGTTTAAGGCTCGACATTGTGTTGTCTACGATTAGACAGCTGATAACTCATTCCCGTACGTCGTAACTCTATAATGACCTTTGCTTATTGTCACATGTGCGCCGCATTCGCGATTGTTGCCGACGCCTGTTTGCAGCTCAGCCCACTACAGTTGTTATACATATCGAAAAACCGATAAACTTTTAGGCGAAAAAGGCACTATTCCAGGCCCATTTTTGATTTTTTTGGCGATATTAGGTAAAAACAGAAGCTTCTTATCCTAGGAAAAATAAAATGGGAAATCTTTCAAAGGTGGCACACTACCTTTAAAATCGGCCGACATGACGTCACTCTGACGTCATTTGCGGCCAAACTATGATAGCTAGAAAGTTGAAATTTTAACACAAGATGTCAAATTAATGCCGCTGAGGGTACCGCTAGTGTCGTATTGATCCGTCAAACGGTTTAGAAGATATTGCCGAAAAACGGGAGGGGGCTCTGTAGAGCCACCCCCAGTCAAGCGCGGGTTAATTTAGGTGCCTTTTCTACATGATTAATTTTTCTTTGCACTTATCTGTGAAGAACAATGCTATATTCACACTTTATTATATGTATGCCAGGTTTCGCAATGTTGCGCTATTACGTGCGTCGTGATAATGACAAAATTTCGATTTGGTGTAAGACAGACCACTGTGGTCCACCATGGCCATGTGGTGGTTCATTTTACCCTGCAGATGAGATTTCGAACGAAAACTTTGACATAAGTTTTGATAACCAATTTTTCCCCGGAAGGAGTCTTTAATGCATGTGAGCCATGCATATGAGTACTGACCTAGCATGCATTCATGCCAAACGACAATCAACACACAGCTTCTAGGTTTTAGTTACACTTCCACCACATATGAGTACAGCATAGGGGCTTATTTGTTATTTTACCACTCTGGTCACTTCTTCTTACAAGAGTAAAGAGCAGACGTGCAACAAACATAAATGGACAGAAGGCACTACTGGAAGTGGTTCGTCTTCATGAGTCACATCCTACAAGATCCGAAATAAACGAATCGCTGATACTGATACGCCTATATCCTATCTACTTAGCTTGAAATTTTTGAAGGATGACCTGAAGCATTGACACAATCGCACGGTTCCTTCAGGTTCAGAGGGAGTGATCTGGTGACCTGACCTGAGGTGACGTGAGGTCACAAGCTATTACGGGTGCAAATTTGATATGCAAATTTATATCAGACGAGTCATGTAAGTTAACATGCATAGCGCTTCTGAGCTCTTTGTGTTGTATGCGTAAACAAACGATACCGCTCACAAAAACGTGCTCGTTCCCACATCCATGCATACAACCGGGGCGAAGGTTGAGGCTACAAACTCTGATTGAAGTAAGATAGGAAAACTTAATGACTTCCAATCACTCGAAATGCGTGATCTGTATCACCGGCCGTGTCATCTGACCTCTGCCGTCTCCCCCGGTCCGTCGCTGTCGTGAGCGGCGCGTCGGTCGGCGCCGGTCGGTCGGCTGGTCGGCCGCTGTGAGCCGGCAGTAGTGCGCCAGCGGCGGCCGCGGCAGGGTAGCGCTCCGCTCCGCTCGCACCGCGCCCTCCCACCGGACGAGAGCGGCGTGCGAGGGAGCGCCAGCCAGGACCGGGCGGCCGCAGCAGCTCGCGCGCACCGCGCCGCCATGGCGCAGCCAGACGAGTGCGGCGAGATCTTCCGCGCCAGCCAGCACACGCTGGTGATCCCCGTGGGCCGGCTGGCGGCGGTCAGAGGCCGGGCTCGTGCAGCGGAGGACACTGACAGCGCGTCTCAGAGAGACCGGGTGACACAGACGAGCACCATGTCGCGGTACACCTCGACGCGCGGCGAGCGGCGAGCCGGCCGAGACGGAGCGGCCACGCTGCCGCGCGCCGCCGGCCGCGCCGGCATCCAGATCATCTGCAGGTACGACTCTGTGCCGGAGAGCGACGAGCCACCTGCGGCCAGCTGCCTGCGGCCCGCCGCCGCCGCGCCCGCCGTCGACATCGGCGACTTCAGCAGCATCGTCGAGATCGACGGCGATTGCGTCATCATCCACTCCCGGCAGGAGGAGGCGGCGGCGACGGCGGAGTCCGAGGCGGCAGCGACAGAAATGCCAGGCGACGCAGAGGCCAGAGAAGAGGACGTGACCAGCTCAGAGGACGAGGATGCTGCCTCCGAAGACGAACACATCACCTCGGAGGACGAGGAAGCTGATCACGAAGACGATGACATCGCCCCGGTCGCCCTGGGCACGCCGATCTCGGAGCGTTGTCGACGTTTCTACGAGAGCCGTCTGCGGTCTCGCGCTGCGGCTCCGTCGTCTCTGGACTTGCCCAGTGACGGCGAGGACACGGACTGGGGACCGGGCAGCGTCGACAGCGGTCGCGAGAGCGGGCCAGACAGTGTCGGCGTCGGCGGCCGGCGAGTGGACACCAAACCGCCGCAGAAACCGGCCAGCTCACTGGCCAGGAAGATGGCCCTGCTTCGACGAGAGATGGTGAGTACCCAAACACTGCGCTGGGTCTGTTCTGTGTCTCTTGTTGCTTCACAGTGACTGGTGGCGCTAACCACACTTCTGCAAGGTCTGATGATGTTCAGGATTGATATCTTTGGATTTTGGTCGGAGGATTATGAGGAGGGGACTTGTGACGTGACTGGCTGGTTGACGGCACTCCCGGACACGTATGTAGGTTTCTTACTACATGCAAGGCCCTAAAACTGGAGTTATTAGGTGCTGAGAACGAGCTAAGTTCCGCATTTCGGGTACCTTGAGAATGTGCTAGCCCTTGCCTAGTGCCTATGCTCAATGACCACGCCCTTTCCGAAGATGATTACCGGGTGCCTACGGGCCATGCACGGATACCTATACCAACGTTTATTCAAACAGCAATTGCTTCATCCCATCTAGGATTTTCACAGAAGCATTTATTTAAGACTTTCTACTTTACAATTTACAGGTTAACCATGATTAATTTTTGGATACAGTTATTGCAGCCATTTAAAAATCGTCTTTGTAGGTATGACATTGGTCACCACAATATTGCATAAATACCTCCTCAAAGAAGTCATCAAGTGCCTCCTTCAGCTTCTGTGTCCGAGAGACTCCGGAGTCTCCGTACGTTTCTCTGAGAAACAACCGACATCGTCGGCAATTAATGTGTTGGAATCGTGATTTATTGCCTATCATCTAAATGATAACAAGCTAATAACAGCCGGAGGAACGAAACTCCACCTCATAATGGTCACCGAAATGAAGCATTGTTGTCGCGCCCTGGAGTGAACTTTCCTCGGTACATGCGTTCCAGTATTTTTGTTTAGTATACAGTAAACGAGAAAGTTGTCCGATGGGAGCGTTTAGGAAATGCTGAAGGCGACGTCGGATGAACCCGCAAACAAAAGATATTTGATAATTACTATTGATGGAATTGGCCACAATTACCTATACGGTATCGTATATTTTCCCGCTGAAGGCTATTGTGGCCAGAGATGGTGGGGAAAGTCACAGTCCAATTGGCAGATTAGCTCAGTATCGTGGCAAATAAACCGGCTCTTTTTCTGAGAACGTCCGTGGTCCTTTCCCATGGAGACCATTTGTAGGCATTTATCGTTCTGGCTATATCGTGCGAACGGTATCTATTTCATGCCTTTTATAGTTTTATGCTAGCGTAATTATTATTAACATTGTAAATACGTTGCCACCAAAGGCTCGTAAGCAAATATCCTTCATGTCTTTATCACAATGATTGTTGTTTCTTTATCGTTTTCTTTGATCATATTCGGGAAATACACGCCTAATGGGGCGTTCCACGACAAATCGACAAGTGCCCTGCACCCTCATATTTTATTTTTTGCTTAAAATTGGTCTAATGGGTTGTGATGGGCGGGGAAGCCAGCTGTGGCAAGGATTTTTTTCTTCGAACAACGGTTTCCGAGATATAGCCTCGGGCAATTCCAACAGGTCGCGCTACAGCCCTATGTTTGGCGGCCTATAACTCAGAAACTATTGGTTTTCTACGATAAAAACTTTATATGGTTCAACTCACAATCAGCCAACAAACATTTTGGCTATCTCGGATTTTCAATTTTTGAAAATTTTGATCACGTGACCTTTTGACCTATTTTTCGAAGAGTGACCTTGATATTTTCCCCACTGAAAGTTGCAATTTTGTCTGATGACGATTAAAGCCTTATTAGTTTTCATTCATATGCGAAAATAAAAAAGTGGATATCGCCCTGCGTTGACCTCAGGTCAGGTCATTTTTATGACCTGTCCGTTATTACGAGAGGGAGCGACAGCGAGATCTCGAGAATAAAGCAAGATAGCGACAAGCGGTAAACGGTGCAGGGTACAAATGGATAAGGTCTATAATTTTTACTGAGGTCATTTTCAGGTCAGGTCAAAGATGACGTCACAAGAGCAAAAAGGAAGTCAAAATTGCGGCACTTCATATATATTAAGTTTTTCTCGAATAACTTTCAAGGCATCCCAGCTAGGAACAAACTAATAGCACCATCGTGATCCTCTCGTCGATCCGCATCGAAATATATGTATGTTGACCTCGAAAGGTCGAAAGGTCAAAAGTTGACCTTAGGTCACGTGAGCTAAGGTCAACTTTTGACCTTTCGACCTTTCGAGGTCAACATACATATGCTTCGATGCGGATCGACGAGAGGATCACGATGGTGCTATTAGTTTGTTCCTAGCTGGGATACCTTGAAAGTTATTCGAGAAAAACTTCATATATGTAGTGTCGCAATTTTGACTTCCTTTTTGCTCCTGTGACGTCATCTTTGACCTGACCTGAAAATGACCTCAACAAAAATTATAGACCTTATCCGTGTGTACCCTGCACCGTTTACCGCTTGTCGCTGTCTTGCTTTATTCTCGAGATCTTGCTGTCGCTCCCGCTCGTCACGTGACCTAGGGTCAACTTTTGACCTTTCGACCTTTCGAGGTCAACATACATATATTTCGATGCGGATCGACGAGAGGATCACGATGGTGCTATTAGTTTGTTCCTAGCTGGGATGCCTTGAAAGTTATTCGAGAAAAACTTCATATATATGAAGTGCCGCAATTTTGACTTCCTTTTTGCTCTTGTGACGTCATCTTTGACTTGACCTGAAAATGACCTCAGTAAAAATTATAGACCTTATCCATTTGTACCCTGCACCGTTTACCGCTTGTCGCTATCTTGCTTTATTCTCGAGATCTCGCTGTCGCTCCCTCTCGTAATAACGGACAGGTCATAAAAATGACCTGACCTGAGGTCAACGCAGGGCGATATCCACTTTTTTTATTTTCGCATATGAATGACAACTAATAAGGCTTTAATCGTCATCAGACAAAATTGCAACTTTCAGTGGGGAAAATATCAAGGTCACTCTTCGAAAAATAGGTCAAAAGGTCACGTGATCAAAATTTTCAAAAATTGAGAATCCGAGATAGCCAAAATGTTTGTTGGCTGATTGTGAGTTGAACCATATAAAGTTTTTATCGTAGAAAACCAATAGTTTCTGAGTTATAGGCCGCCAAACATAGGGCTGTAGCGCGACCTGTTGGAATTGCCCGAGGCTATATCTCGGAAACCGTTGTTCGAAGAAAAAAATCCTTGCCACAGCTGGCTTCCCCGCCCATCACAACCCCTTACACCAGTTTTCAACGAAAAATAAAATATGAGGGTGCAAATTTAATTTTTTATTTGTCGATTTGTCGTGGAACGCCCCCTATAATATTGTTCAATACTCACTTTTGAGTGAAACTTGAGGTATCCTTAGAACTATGCCCTAAAATTGGCCCTCGGCCTGACGAAGACCGAAAGCTAGAAACTTTGGCATTGTTCATATGCAACATGTATGCACCCTTCTCAATGCAGTTGACATCACGATGCATACTAGAATATGGCTCCTTTTCTAAAGAAAGTCCCTTGGAACATATGCGCGTCTACATCATCTGACTTTACCAGCAGCAAACCGCGTCCGCCCACAACCTGTCGCAGCTCTTCTGCAACATTTTCTCCATACAAACAGCCCTCTGTCTGTAGGGAGCTTCGTGCTACTGCGCTGAACACAGTGGCGTAGAAGCGTTCCTTTGTGTGCCCCTGCCCACGCTCTCCGGGGTGAAACTGCCTCTGGCAGAATTCACCGACGTTCGAGCTCACCCCTGGATCTCACTGCGGTCAGGTCAGGGGTACGGGATGGAACACGACTGCCCCAAAATCACGACTCACCTGATTGAAGCGCTAGTTTCCGGGGCTGCCGGGATGAGGTCGTCACGAACTCATGAGCCGTCTGGCCGCAGAGGGTTGTTTATGGGGCTCTGTTCCTACCGCGGCAAGGCCGGGGCAGTGCTGTGCTAACCCGAGCTAAGGCCGTTCCCATGAATAGACGTCAGTTCCGCGCAATTTGAATGCTCGGTTTTACCTTCAACTGTGGGAGATTATTCCAAATGTGTCACTTAGTGGCGAACCGAATCACGTCTTCCTCTTTGAGTCGTGCGCTAACGAAGACACAGTCACAGCATGGTGTTCACGATGTATTTTATGTGTTTTCTAAACAGAACCAAAAGTTTCCTTCAATAAAACACTGCCGTTTTCCTGCTGGGAATGGCCGTCGTGTCTCTACCGGTGTTTTTGTTCGTGGCTCCGCTGTACGCTGCCAGCGTGAGAACCGCTTTATGACTGCACAGTCCAGAGCATTTACGGGAAATGGCTTCAATTGTACTGCCGCCAACGGACCGTGGCCTGGGCAAGGTCACGACGAGACAAAAATAGCCGGAAGTAGAACACTGTGCGATTATTCGATCCTGCTCTGTGTAAGCGTGAAACAAGTATACACGTGTTTGTCATGAATTTTAATCACCGTTCTTTCGAGCACCGACCCTACCCATTGCAACACCCACTCATATCAGCTGAAACACTGTTCTCTCTCGCCCTCCTATCAAATCTCCATCGTATTAACATGCCGCTGCGGTGCGCCCGGACCGCTCGTCCCTATGTGTGTGTGTATGCGCACCCTCCTCTCCTAGCACCGCCCGCGGCTCTCCGTTGCGTAATCTGCTAATCGGCGATCACTCCGCAGCGTTTTCTCGTCCGCCGCGCAGCCCGGGGCCGGATCCCTCTCCTAGCCGAGCGCACAGCCCCCTCCCGGGTCCCGAGCGGTCCCGAGACCGCACCAGCGCAGTGCCATTCCAGTGCCATTCTGGTGCTGTTTCATACCAATCATGTCAGAGGCAGTTAGCCACGCTATCGCTGGCATTGTTTGACGGTAACGCGGAACCGGCGTCGCCCTGTCGGTTGTTAGCGGTCGCGTGAAGACCACTTTCGCTGCCGCCCGGCCGACGACGGCTCGGCGACCAGCGACTAAACGACTAACGATCGACGATTGGGCGACTGGTGATCAACGATTACACGACTAAACGGGTTATGAGCTCAACCATAACATGCTGACGGTTAGGCGTTACGCATGCTCGTGTGTAATCATGTGAATGTGACTGAC